CAGGGGTATTTTGGTCATAATATTTTATTAATTATATTTTCGTTAGTGTGAGTTTAATAGAGGAATGAACTTCCAAAATTTGGTGTCAAAAAAATTTATAAAAAAAAAAGTTCAAAAATAAAATAGTGTAGAGACGTGACATTGTGATTGGGGCAATCTTAACCCTCCATTGAAAAATGGACGGTTGGATAAGGAGAGGATAGAACTTCTATGTAGTAGGGGGACATAGACAGCTTTCCCTATAGGAAAAGAGATAAAATTTAAATACAATCTATGCTATGAAAAAAAGGGCAACCTTCTCTGCTTCCCCTACAGTATAGAAGACGTATTCTCCCCCTTATCCAACCGTCCATTTTGAATGGAGGGTTAAGATTGCCCCAATCACAATGGAACGTCTCTACACTAGTTATTTTTAACTTTTTTCTATAACTATTTTGACACCAAAATTTGGACATCCATTCCTCTATTAAACTCATACTAGCGAAAATATAAAAAAATATTTTCAAAAAAATAAAATGACCAAATACCCCTGAAAATTTCAAGGGGTATTTTGGCCATTATATTTTATCGAAAAATTATTTTTAATATTTTTTGTAGGTGCGCCCCAATGAGAATATGACACGTACCAAATTTCATATTCATACAATTTGTATAAAAAAGACTAAAAACAAAATACTTTGAGACGTCCGATCTAAGATCAAACGGTGAGTGGTTCTCTTGATCAAAATTAGACGGTTAGATGGCAGAGGGAGGATAGAACTTCTATGCTGTAGGGGAAGCATAGAAACCTTGCCTTTTTTTAAATCCCATCAACCATCTAGAGTTTTTAGAGAGGTTCTAGGGGAACCAAAGATATTTAGACTGAGTTTTTCTGTGTTACTGCGATGAAGTCTAGAGGAATCAGCTGAGTTCATTGGGATTTAGACAAGTCAAGCAACACTAGACCATAGCTTTCTCTAGGAGGTGGGATGGATCTAGGTAACATTAACATGAGAAAAATTAGGGTAATTTCATCCCACTCAGTTTCTGTTGTTTTTTGAATTTTGAAGGCTTGAAATTTCAAAGTGTGAAAATAATTGAGATGCATGCTAAGTCCCATTCAGTTCACAGTCGCGGCTTTTGTTCTGTTCTTGAAATTCAAATCTTCAAACCAAAAATGAGTTGTCCCCCATATGGAACTTTGGGAGTTGGGGCCTCATATATCAAAATGCTCTTTTTCATGCGTTTTTGTAGTTTTGTAAGTCATATGTACAAGTATTTAGAATGTTGGATTTTGTAAGTCATATGTACAAGTATTTAGAAGTTTCCAACATTCCCTTCCTAACAATTGCAATCTTCTAGGTTTAGGATTTCCTTAGTTTGAAGACAAACAGAGTAAGGACTTGCCTCCAGAGCTTTGCTATTAAATACTAAGATCCTGGAAGTCAAGAGGACCTTCCCATCAACCAGGATAGGAATCATGTAGCTTCTGTATTTCACCATACAAAATTATAATGGCAGTCGTTATAAATTTTTCTGATTGTGGGACAATGGATGATTTCATACAAAATTCATCTCCAGCAACCATGGCTTTGGAGTTGGCCTGGAGGAAAATATTGGAATTTACATCAGAAGGATACAACTCAATGAAATAGCCAGCTTCAAACCACAGGGGGTCGCCTCTTGGGCAATGATGATTGAATAGAAAAGTTTCAAGCTGCCAATGAGTCACTTAGAGCACTCCCAAGCTTTGAGCTGTCAGAGTTTGAAGGCATCGTCCCTGACGGAGGCCTGCCACAACCATTAAGTTTTAGAAAGTATTAAACATTTGACTGCTAGGATGTGGTAGAAGTATTAATTTATCTACAAATAAACAGTAAGTAATTAGCTAGTTCCCTTATATTAAAACCTAAGAGACGTCCTTCAGAACATTGATCAAGTGACTGTTACAGTGGAAGTGTAATGTGCTTATCAAATTTTAAGAATATTGAAACTGTATGCTTAGGAATCTCAGAGTTCAATAAATTCTGAATAAGAACCGAAGCATAGAGGCCAGTGACCACAGTCAACCTCCAATGACAATTTGACATACAATAAAAATCCATTGCAGAACAGCCTTAATTCATATTTCACAACCCATAATCCATTGTAACTGATTAAAACTTTGAAGATCTCAATAAGTCAAACTAGCAAAGACTTGCGGCTTGAAAGTGACAAATTCAAATTAAACATCTCTGATGGATGCGAAATCCGAAGTAATGGCCCCTGGACTTACTATACTTGGATGAAAAATATGAGATACATGAACATGGAATCACTTTCACACATACAAACATGGCAATATATATAGTAAGTAAACATCCTCTACCGCTGCCCAGGAATGTAGAAACGTCGTATCAATTATGTTCCCCACATGGTTCGAGAAAATCACAATCAGTTACCCTCTTTATTGCATTTACATAGTAATGGATGATAGTGTTCGCGACATTTTCAAGAAATTCAATACAAAGGTGCCAAGTTTATATCATGATTCCACACCAAGGGCAAAAGGAAACATCATGGAGAAGACTTTATATAACTTCTAAATATATATAGTTCACCGATCTCTCTTGCATGGGATTAAAGAGGACTGTATTATGCATTTGTGAAAATTGATTATAGGAGCCAAAGAAAATGGGCGCATGCTGACAACATACCCTTACACCATATCCGTCTCTTTAAATCTAGCCTTAATCTCATGCATTGAATAGTTTAGCAGCAGCGCCCACCCTCCCACACCCTACCAACCCCCCAAAAAAAAGTATGTGTCTGTCTATTTCACAAGGAAAGATAAATTATTTAACAATTCATACCCTAATTTTGCATGACCCTTTGCCAATGCACATACTTTTGGAGTGCATGTCCACTGTGGACAGCTTCTTGTATTTAAAGGTTCCATGCATGTAAAAATCTACACACACAGTGTAAATACTATTGTGGATACAGTTATAATAAATATCAATGACAATGACTAGATGAATTACTTACAGTCCATTGATGACCTTGAATGCGTCATATATTCCCCATTGTGCTCCAGTGAGTGTACCCACCATTAGGATTCGTAGTGTCAAACCCCTTGTAAACAAAGAGGCAATGCTCACCTTTGCAATCGCCTGCATGAGTTCAAGATATTAGGCTATGAGTAATGAACGCCGTATAAAAACCTTAGGATCATACAAACTGTAAAAACTGTTTGGATTTTGTGGCTGTTTTGGATTTTGTGGCTGTTTCAATTCTTGGCCAAAACTAATGTTCCACATTTTCCCTGAAACTGGAAAATTAAATTATGGAGCATAGATGAGATCTGAAGTTTCAGTCGAAACAGGAAATCTTGGGTAACATACCAAGCATGATCAAGTGATGTTCAGATGTAATTTGAAATCATATGAAAGATATATAGGATAATGGAACATGGTTCCAAATTCTGAAACAAGCAGTGCTTTTCTAAGCCCTTGTGCTCAGGCATTGACAAGTAGTTTTCACTTTTCAGAATGGGGGTAGGAAAATCTCCATTAGTAAGATGTTATCCACAAACCACGTTAATAATATAGGCTTTTCCAATCAGATAAAACCAAGTGATTGCATATACTAGACATCAAAAACATGAAATAGGATTCCTAAAAGTTAAGTTGGTAATAATCCAACAGAGAGATGTTAACTAATATTGTAGAAGTGAAAAGTAAAGAACCCATACTTACGGTGGATAGGGTTTCGCCCTTGCAGTTGTTGATGAGGGAGACGAGATTATCAGCTGGCTGTGAAACAAGAGCACAAGATATTCCTGAGATGTAACCAGCCAGAAAGCTCACTCCCAACTGAACTGACTTGGGACATTCTTCTCTAGACATTGACAAGCCATGCTTGTAAATCCCTTCCACTGTCTTCTCAAAGCATACAAATTTTACCATTGTGTCTACAAATGGCAAAGAAGTGAGATCATTAATTTTAAAGAAAAGGATACCAAATACTAGAAATTAAACTAAATATAGTTACTTCATGCCTAAGTGTTTTCACTCACAGGGTATCTGTCTTCCCCATAAAGGCAGTAATCCCTTATAAAGCCTGTCAATAAAAGCAAGTAATATTTCATTCAGCAATGCATTGAAGTGGTAGTGAACAAGATGGATGGCACTTCTCTGAAAAAAGAGAGATTAAGAGAGAAGGGGTTCCCGAAAACAGTGATATTACATGCAGAGCACATCAAGTGACTTATATATATAACATAATAAACTATTTGATAAATCAACACAAATATGTTCATACACAAATGAATGCATGCATGCATAAACACAGTCGCACACCTACATGCATATACAAACATAGTGTTGACAAGCAAATCAGATATTGTGCAGCCAGTGATCAGAAACTTGCCTCGGCCAGGGAACTCGCCCTCTGGCTGAGGTGAGTTACTTGGCAGAGTCAAGCACAGGTCTGACAAGCCCTATATAAATTGAAAAAAATGAGAAAATTTTAAAAAATTTAAAACAATTGTATTAAGAGAAGAAATAAAAAAAAAAAAAAAAATCTTCAGCAGTCCAAATAAGCTTAAACAAGTACTAGAAAAATGGATTTAGAAAAAACAGATATATAGTTGGGGGCATTTTAAAAACTCTTTAAAAAAGGAAAATATAAAAATAAGGATTTGTGGCAAAAAATGCTCACTAATCTTTGCCAAAAACATATAAATCATACACAAAAGCTATAGATTCATCCCACATATTTTTCAATTTTTTAAATTTTTTTAATAACCCCGAGTTGTAAACACAACTTGGGAAAACTCGGCTTCCCCCTGATTTACCGACTCTAACTAGAGAGTCCCATCCCGGCACACTGCATGCAACAAATCTTGCACAGTAAGAGCAGCTCATTGAGGACCAAAATTTCATTAACCATACAACCAATCTTCTCTCACATCATCCAGCTCAACCAATCTAGAGGTGGCACTCTAAGGCAAGGCAAAATTGTAGTCATTTCCAGGAGTTGTTCACTATTTTGGTGTCAATTCTATGACATGTTCCCTGTCATCCATTGCAGCTCCACTCACTACTTTTGGTAACAAACATATGTCACTTGTTGAATGCCACCCTCTATTCCTTGGGAAAAGGCCTGTTTATTTTTCCTATTACCAAATTTTCCTCATGAGACAAATTAGCTTTGGAGAGAAAAACAAATTGTATGCACATATCATCGCCTTCCTCATGCATACTAGTTTCTTCAGTTCAGCATCAAGCACATTATGGTTGAATCCCAGTAGGATTAAATAAAATCGTGTTACCTCTAGAACCCAGAGGACTTGGATAATTAGTTCGAACAAGTCAGAACCAGAATGAACCAGTTTGAACTGAACCTATCAAACCAGGAGAACCTTCAAGCAAGACTGCATAAACTAGATCACACGGTCGCCCTATTAAATTTTCTCACCTGAGCAGTTAAACTGGTTGCAGTATGTAGATCAGTGATTAACCATGAACTGGATTAACAACCTTTGGGTCGATGGCTGATGTTTCCTTAATACAATAATCCCAAACCAAAAATTTGATGCCATTTTTAGGTTGACCACTTACAGCCTTCCTGTAATTGCAGTAATTTTTGTAACTGATTATGCCCTGTATTGGACAATGTCAAAATCCAAAAAATGAACTTTAATCATGAATTATTGAGCCAATCCCTAAGATTTTTTAATGTTGAACTTCAATGAGGAGAGTTCTTAGAAGGGGAGGCAACAAAATGCATCCAAAACTGAAACAGCCACAACCAGGAAGGCGTTCATGTCCAAATATATGTATGTACAAATAATCTGATATTGACGGGATAGATAATTATCCCATACCTGTTATAATCTAAGAATAAACTACACAAACTTTCATGAATGTGCTCTTTAAAGAAAAAAGGGTAATGTCTGTGTTTTGAATGCTTTGTCACTGCGAGAATAAATTTAAAAGCAAAAAAAATTAACAAAAGTTTTTCCAAAAGATTAGGAACCACAATAATATCAAGTTTAGCAAGGAATCCAGAATCAAAAGATAAAAAAACAAAAAAAAAGAAAAGAATAGATAGTGCATGTAGAGAGGGAGACAAGTTTTAGCGCAATTACTGCTTGGGAAACAGATGGGGAGTTTAGACTTCAAATCCTTGATTTAAAAGGAATAGTTGCCAGACAAACCAAATACAAGAACAGTGGAATATCTTGAATCATTAGGAGGCAAGGGAATTTTAGTTTTTTATACCAAATCAAAGCTGACATTTACGAGAATTTTTAATGTCTTGACTGGTTAACTAAAAATCATGTCACCAATTATCAATTGCAAGCCATGACAACGCAGAAAATAAATTTTTTTACAGAGATTAAGAACACATGGAATCAATTACCCCAAATGCATTGGGACCATCAATTCTATATCACTCATCACCATTTGAAAGACATGAAAGCGCAAAATGGAATACTGTTGGAAGACCTGAAAGCTGAATAAAGGGGGAAAAAAATGCAAAAACTAAAAACCCATGAAAAGAATTACTCAAAATGCATGATCACTAGCACTAACCCGTCTCTTGGAACCACAAAAACCCAGAAAATAGAATCTTTCATAGTGAAAAAGAAAAGAGAAACAACATTGAGAAAGCATAGTACATAGGCAGAGAAATAATTCATGAATGGCTTACCCTTTGATTCCCTGTGTGGCCACAATGTCTAAAGCAGCCCCAAAGAAACCAATGGCGAAGTCAGGATGAGTCTGAACTCTAATTTTGAGGGCTTCAAAAGGACAGAGAGCAATGTCTGCTATGAACTCAGCTGAAGCAGAGCTCGCAAGATAAACGAGGGTCTTATGCCTACCATTACTGTTGCCATCTCCCTCTCCTCCATAGAGAGCCTTGAAGAATTCATAGAGCCCAAATTTCACAGCACCCTGAGCACTGTAACCAAGAAATGTGGGAACCAATCCTTTGAATAGAGCACCAGGGCCGTGCCTCCTGATCAACTTATTGAACCCACATTTGATGCTTGTGTACTTTGATGGATTAGCCTGAAGTAACAAGGCCTATCGTCAGTTGGTTAGAGAGAGAGATAGATACATAGAGATATAGAGAGAGAGACCTGCATGTTACATTTGAGAAGGTAGAGAGAGAGATCTGCATGTTACATTTGAGAAGGTAGAGAGAGACCTGCATGTTACATTTGAGAAGGTAGAGAGAGAGAGACCTGCATGTTCCATATGAGAAGGTAGAGAGAGAGACCTGCATGTTACATTTGAGAAGGTCGAGAGGGGTGACTCCAGCATGAGTGAGGCCGCAGCTGAGAAGGCCTCCAACCATGCAAACAACGTAAAAATCGAGTGAGAACATCATCTCTCTCTAAATGCATTGGAATGCAATGAACGCATATTAATGAATGAATTAATGAATTCAAAGCGTTTGAGAGAGAGAGAGAGAGAGAGAGGAAGATTCGCATATCCAAGTTGGATCTTATAAAATATCAGCAGCCAATTAGGTCCCCGCACTTCTCCAGCCCATTCTCCTGTCCGGCCCACCTCCCAGACATTACTTTTATATTTTTGTCGAATTTTATAATTCATGTTTAATAAGTTAAAAGTCTCGTATTGAAAGGGTGACCCTCACCCCTCTCATGAAGGAACTCCAAATATACTTTAGCATACGCTGGGCTTGTCCACACACCTCTCTCTTTCTCTTTTATTTATTTATTTATTTATTTATTTCGAGTTGAGGAAGTGGATAAAACGTCTACCCTTTATAAGAATTCAACCTAGCTTCACAAATCGTCGAGCGCTAACCAATTAAACCCGAGCTCTTTTCTTCCGTATTGCATACACTTGAGCCTTTCTTGGATCAACAAATTGACCCCTCCTCGGAAGGCATTCTGATTGTGGGACACATGCCCCCCCACCCGCTGTTTATAAACTCCAATCCTCGAAAAAGTTCGATGTGGGACACACAACAAAAGAGGGAAAAGAGGGATGTAGAGAGAACGAGCATGGGCACTGATTGCAATTAAGTCAAAAGACATTGTACTCTCAAGGGTGTAAACCCTACCTACGGTGAATTTTAGAATCTCAAATCTTAGGGAGATAACCTCATCAACTCATAGATTAAAATTAATTAAAAAAAAATTGAATTGCATCATCCATGCAGTTGATGTCTCAATTGAATAGAAACCATCGAACTTTTAGAAAGTGAAATATAAGTATTAGAAAACTCATATTTCAATTTTTTTTTAGAAAAATCATCTATTGATTTTTAAGTGATTCCCAAAATTTCAAATTGAAAAAAAGTTTGTAGTTTAACCGAGGAAGTAGAAGTAAACTATATGCCCTCAAGTACCAAGAGGGAACCTAGTATACATGCCCACTGTTAAAATGTCACAAGAATACACTTTTTATATAGTTTGAATTAATTCAAATGGAACAAGAAATAATTTCAGTGTTGAATTGGGTTCTCATGTTTATATATTTATTTAAGAAAAAGTTTATATAAGATTGCAACTTTAAAATGTAGAATTACATATGTGCGTCAAAAAGCCATTGGAAAATATTGTTTTAATATTAAAAAACCATCTAATTGATCATCTCGACATCGGGATTAATGAATATGAAAAAAAAAAAAAAAGATTTTCAGTTCCAGAAATAGTGCATCTTGCAACACATTATCTAGCCCGCCCATTTTTGAGATTTTCGTATGTTATAGATCTACTTGATTTTAGCTATTTTTGGAGTTTAAAATTTTATAATTAGATATGAGAATAGATTTTCCAATAATCCTAAAAATTTTTTACACCAAAATTATATGTTATGATAATATTTGGAGGTGCGCCTTAATTGGATTGTTTAAGTTTGCAACCTTATAGAAACCACACCCTTTTATTTATCCATTTAGATAACTGAGATAGGGAAGACGAATTATTGATTTTGAGATGAAATTAACCGATAACAAACACTCAAACAAGAGAGAAGTTCTCAGTATATACGGATTTTATATATAATGATAAAAAACTATAATTCACTACCATTATTTGAAAAAAAGTATACAAAGAAATAAAACATAGATTTTTAAGAAATTTTGGATTTTTTTTTGAAAAAATTTAAAGCTGAATCCAACTGATCCAGTCGATTCTTTGATCAAGACTGCCAATCCGCCAATGGAATCAGTTTCACGGATGGGTAGGTTACCGATCTATTTTTAAAACCTTAGATGGAACCAAATTGAGGTCCCATGGACAGTACGTATGTTGCAAATTTTGTGGAGGTAGATCTGGAGTTGCTGATCCAGATCGAGAATAGGGGGGACCGACTTGGTTCCTAGTCAGAATTAGGAATTGGTCTCATTCCCATAAACTCACCTTATTCCATAGAATTGTGTGAGTTTGTAAAGAACTGCGTGATTCATATCACGCGTATCACCTGATTCACAACTATTTTCGTATTCTATTTTTCCAAAATTTAAAATTATTATTTAAAACCGAGAGTCAGTCCAGTTCGTCGATTTGGATAGAAAATCCAAAAGGCCAGTTCGGTCGGCAGATCCAATTTTTGAAACGCTGAGTAATACATTTTATAACTTTTCAAAGCAACTTTAAGAAACTCATCAATTTAAATAATAATAATAATAATAATAAATAAATAAAAAGAAAGATTTTAAGGTCAGGAAACACATGATCAAATCATGCATCAATTGGATGTCCAAGAATCAAATAATAGGGTGGGAACTATTGGGAGAACTTTTTGATCTTCAACTCAATTTCGTTTTAGATTGGTCTTATTAGATTGATCTTAGGATGATACAAGAGATTCGGGATCAAGTAAACCAACACAACGTGGTGTTTCGGCTGTTGGACTAAATGCCGAACCTGGTCCTAGGGGACTAAGTTTTTTTTTTTTTTTTGCCAATCTGATCAGCTCCCAATGTTAGAAAAGGACATGTAAAAGCATGCTAGTCATTTACCCCCTGGATAAAATCCAATATAGGAGTAATTCTGAGACCCCAAATCTTGAGGATGTAAGCTCAACATATTGACTAGGACCCGGTTTCTATGCGGCCAAGCTCGCATATGTAGAAATGTAGGCCTATTAATAAATCTATTTTTTGAGATGGATTTTTGGACTTAAGTTTTAAGGACATGTAATCTCTATCATGATCTACAAAATAAGTAAATTTAAAAAACTAAAAATAATAATTATAGTAGGAAAACATTTGGACTATTAGTTATACACTTTTTGAACTGCATATATAGTCATGCGGTCCAGCCCACATGAAACAATTTTCCTATTGATGAACCCAACAATGAAAGGAGAAAAACCCAAATCGCACTCTCTATACACTTGAAAAGAATAATGTATTTGAACAGATGAATTTGTTGAGGGTGAGATCTAATTACTAAAAAGCTTAAAATTCAAATTTTCTTTTGAGTAATAACTATAGTTAGCAAGTCGGGGAATAATAATATATCGGCAAGCCAAAACATCAGTAATGAATCGGTTTTATTTCAAAAAGTCGGTGTAAAAAATCAGGTTAAAATACGGATCGCTAAAAAATGAGGTAAGTAATAAAGTTGTGAATAATTCAGATTTATCTAAACAAAAACGAAGTGAAAAAATCGGATATGTAAAGATGACATAATATAGGATTATGATTTACAGTTGTTGTATATATACATTAAAGCCATTGAACAATAATTTTATGACCTTACCTAGTATCGTTGGAATGATACTTGACAATTTATTGTCTAAAATTTCAATAAGTCCAACAACAATGCTTTTTCTATTGGGCAAGCTTTCTATGCTTCTCTTACAACATAAAACTCATATACTTCCCCTTATCCAATTGTCCATTTTGAATGGAGGGCTAAGATTGCCCCAATCACAATGTCACGTATTTACACTATTTTATTTTTAATTTTTATTTTTATAAATTATTTTGATACTAAATTTTAGATGTCCAATCCTTTATCAAACTCGCACTAGCAAAAAATATTAAAAAAATATTTTCAATAAAATAAAATGACCAAAATACCCTTGAAAGATTCAAGGGGTATTTTGGTCATTATATTTTATCAAAAATTTATTTTTAATACTTTTTACAGGTGCTCCCTAATGAGAAGATGACATGTACCAAATTTCATATTCATAAAATTTGTATAAAAAACCTAAAAATAAAATACTTTGAGATGTCGGATCTAAGATCAAACGGTGACTGGCTCTCTTGATCAAAATTGGACGGCTGGATGGTAGGGAAAGCATAGATCTTCTATATTGTTGGGAAAGTATAGAAACCTTTCCTTTCGCTGTTGTCATAATACGAAAATATGACAGATTAATTTGGAACATAAAATGAAATATAAATAATACTTAACACATTAACTACATTAGTAGATAACAAGAACTGTAAACTAAGACATAGGATTATTGTTTGAAGAAAAAAAAGACAAAAAAGACCCTCAGCATAAGATTACAATTAACTCAAACAAAATACAGATCCAAATACATAAATAGTAGTCCATCCAAAATGCTATGTTGTATACACCAATAAAATAAAAAAATAAATTAATCAAACTTCTCTATATATAAAGAAATTAACAAAATGTTTAAGAAAATTTGAATCTCACATTGAATTACTAGCTGCTTAAATCTTTAGTATACAAAATCTTTAAGCAATTTCGAATCTCACACAAAATTCCCTTTATAAAGATGCACTGGGTTTAAAGAAACAAAAAAAAAAGGAGTTTTCATTGAGTTAGTCTTCTAACTCTGCCTATTATCTTGAGATATAAGATAGTTATGATATCTTAGTTTTTGGAGAATATATTGTTTGTAATTTTTTTGTAAACTTTTTTAAGGGAAATTATTGGTGAAACACTTTATGGAATTTTAATTTAAATCAAGATCTTAATTTACTCATACTATTAATTTGTTTATCTTTAAATAAAAATTCAATAATATTGGGAAAAAGTTTATATAGAGCAAAGGCTCTAAATAATCAAATTAGAGCCTACCTCAAAAACTTCACTATAGGAGGTTGTTTTGATGCCCAAATATCCTCAAATTGATCATCTCAGCTCAAGATGCATGGACATGATAAAAATATGGAAAAGATTTGGAAATAGTATATTTTGTAATGCATTTTTGACCGTCAAATTTCAAGATTTTCAATTTTTCATAGATCTATTGATCTACACTATTTTTGAAGCTTTAAACTTTATAAATGAAGATGAAAATGTATGTTAAGGCTATCACAAAGATTTCCACTATTAAAACCAAATTTCTTGACACTATTTGAAGGTAGGCTCTAATTTAATTTTTTAGAGCCTAGGCTCTATACAAACCGCACCCATAGTATTAAGTTAATGAAGAAATAAAGTCAGGGAATAAGTGTTTTTGAAAAATTTTTCTGAAAAAAGATAAAATAAGAGTTTACGATTTTTTTAATATCTTTTGAAAAATTCGGGTCCTAAACGGATTTAAAAAAATCAGAGAT